GGCAGCCGCGCAGCAACCGAGCTCCTTCCGCGCTCGTTGCAACGGGAGCAGAAGCGGCCGGGAGAGGCTCCTTCGGGGTGCCGGTCTGCGAGCGGGCGCGCAAATGTGCGCGCGTGGCCGCGCTCGCTCCGGAGCTGTGCGACGTGCAGGTGACACCAGGAGAGCAGCGCGCAGGCAGACCCCGCATTGTGGCTTTAGTCGTGCGCGCTGCGCTCACATTTCCGCGTTCGCCGCAGGGCTCTGCGGGACCTCCCGCGCCCGAGCACCCCGCTGCCCAGCCCGGACTCCGTGCTGCGCACTGCAGAGACTGGAGAAAAAAAGCATCCACACAAAACCTACCCTGCCGAAGTGTCGCTCCACATCCTTCTCACGATGCACCTGTGAAAGCGGGTGTAAAGTTAGTGCGGGGGGTTGCCTCTCTCGCAAGGGGTGCAGATAAATTCGGGAGAGATCCAGTGTACAGAGGATGGTACAATAGCTTATTTTATACTGCAAAGCTGCTGTGCAGACTTTGCCCAAAGAATGTTGCGCGCTTTACTTTGACAATCCCAGCAAAAAAAGAGACGGGAGTTGAGGGGGAGAGAAACAAAGACTTATGATTAGCGCTAGTAATTTAATACGAAATTCGTGGGCCATCCCCATCAAGCTGAACAAGCAAGCATCAACACTTTTCTTTCTCATGCACACGTATCTACGATAGATGATTAACCAGGTCCCTTGCTGCTTACACAGGGGAAAAGAAACCCTGACAAACAGCCCGGTGTCTGCTCGCAATTTGAGAAATTAAAAATCAAGTGTGGGGAGGTAAGAATGAGTCAAGCGATGCCCTTTTTCCCCATCAGTGCCCACTGTCAGCCACGGGTGATTTCGGTTTGTGTGTTTGTTTGTTAACAAAACTACCATTTCAGGGAGCATATCCCACTAATGTTATGGGGTGAAAAAGCTAATTCAGGGGAAAATGTAGCTAATGGTAGTCAGCTACCAAAACCGAGAAGCACTTCTCAAAGAATCAGCAGCGTAAAAAATATATGAGATTCTTCTTCTTCTTCTTCTTTTTTAAATCAGTTACCTAGCTGTGCTATTTCTAAGAAATGGGAACCGGCATGTCGCCCTAATACAATTCCCTTTCAGATATCAACTCTCCGGTTCAGGTAAAAGCCCTTGCAAACCACGTCGGAATAGGAATGTTTATGCATCAGATTTAAGGGTGATCTTTGCAATTTCAGTGGCTCTCGGCCCCCCGCTGCCCCGATGCGAACGTGCGTGCCGGATGGCGCTGCTCTGAAATGACGCTCTGATTTTGTTTGAACTCTTTCCGATTTTGATGGGGAATGTGAAAGTGGAAGGAGGGGACACAAAGCGGAAGGGGGGAGAAGTGATTCTTTAGTTAAAACTAATCTTAAGGGAAAAAAAAGGGATCTTAAAAAATGTGGTTGTGAGAGAGGAATGTCCCACTTGAATTAGCAGCTTTTGGGCACTGGGAGTGGGTTACAACGCAACAAAATTTGCCGAGCAAAATTCGGGGAGAGGTGCGTGCCAGGTGGCCCCACGGCACGGGCCGCTCGCCCGGGAGTTCGGGGGCGAGCTCGACGCCTCGTCCCCACCGAGGAGAAACTCTTTACGCGGCTCGGGGACCCTCCTCCTCCTCTTCCGCTCCAACAACATCATTTTTTCCCTGTGTGCATGTTCTAAAAAAATGGCTAAGACCAAAGAGATTCCTCCCCACTTCCCCCCAAGTTAACATCCGAGAGTGATTAAGCTTTGACGACCGAATTCAAAAGTCGAAAATAAACAGCACCGGCCTCTAACTAGGGATCCGGCGCACCAAGCGATTCTTATTTTAGCCCGCTGTGCAGCGCCGCAAGCTTTGTGGGATGTGATTCCTAGTGCCTATGTAAGGAAGGGAGGAAAGGATGGAAGAGCAGAAAAACGGACCCAGTAAGTGCCTGGAAATTTTATGACTGTGAAGACGGACGCGCAGAACCAACCTGTCGTTCACAGTTTAAAAGAAAAAGGAAAGGGACACAGTGTGTATGAACAGGGAGATGGTCAGATCAGGGCTTTCTCCGCCTTTCAGTAGCTCCACCTTGTGAATATACCTCAGTAATTATGAGAGAGAGAAAAAAATAGCCATCTATATTGCACATTTTCCAAGGCTGGATCCAAGCTTCCCAAGCGCTCGCCGGGGTCTCCTTTCTCCCTGCTAGGGAACATCACTTGCAAAGACAGCGTTTAGCGCGCCGATAAAAATAAAGCTCTCCCTAAGCACCTTGCAGCACCTCATAAATAACAAAGTCCCGCGGCCGCAGCCGGGAGCCTTGGGGCTCCCGCCACCCCCTCCCCCGAGAGGCCGCAGCTGCGGGGCCCGGCGAGCGCCTCGGAGCCCCCTGCGCGGGCACCTCCGCTCCCGCGCGCCTCGGAAAACAGAGAATTCCCAATTCTGGAGCCGTTAGGAAAGCAGCAGCCCGGTGCCCGTGCGGACCCCTCGCTGGTCCTTGGGTCCCATCCACCCAACTAGTCCGGATGCGGCGAGGAGCCTGGCTGGCGGTCCGCGCCCGGGGGCACGCACAGGTTTGGAGCAGGGGAACCTGCAGGGTGGGTGCGCGGGCGGCCTTGCAGCCCCGGCCCCAACTGGCGTTTAGTTCCGTGGGCTCTCCGTTACCTCCCGGGGAAGACGCAGCTGCGGGATGAGCGGCGGGTTACGGAGCGCTCCGGAGTTCACAGACCTAAGGAGTTATCGATCGCGAGTTTTCTCTCCTGCAAATGCAAAGGGGAAAGATTCAAGCGAGGCCGCCCGGCTCTCGCATCGCCCCCCCACAAATCGCTCCCGCAGTGCCCGTAATGCGGAGCGACTTTTGCACCCATTGCACCTCGTCTTTCCGCGGCGCCCTCGCCGGGAAGCCCAGACTTTGTGGGCTTTGGCTTGCGCGCTTCCCTGCGCGCCCGCGCACGGCCCTGCGGCGATGCGAAAGAGCGGGGCGAGCGGGGCCGAGGGCCGCTGGCATCATCCCCGGGCTGCCCCTGCTTCGTTCCAGTTGGGAGAGAGGGACAACGGGCTGGGAGAGGGGGTATCTCCACTGGGAGATTTCCGCAGTGTTTTCTTTGTTCGGTAGCAATTTCCTTCTAATTATTCTCTAAAAACGGATAGACATTGAACTTTTTATTCTTTTTTATTCCTAAATAATCGAGAAAGATAACGAGAAATGTCGTTGATGTCAAAGAGTCGGGGCGCTCCGAGAGCGGCAGAGGTCGAGGCGCAGACGGAGGGAGCAGCGCGTCCAGTGCGGGCCCCTCTCCGCACCCCTGCGCGCCCCTCCGCGCTCCGCGCTCTCTCCCCGGCCGCCCTTCCCCGTTTCCGTTTTTTTTTTTTTTTTTTTAATCCCATGAAAAGTTGCTGTTATGTTGTTCTCCAAATGGACACTTGGGGTCGCACTTTCTGTCTGTTTGAGCGCTAAAACAGTGTAAGGAGAAGCCCTAATCTCCCTTAATCGTTACAAAATGTTCAAAAAAAATCCTGTTACCGGACCAAAAAAAAAAAAAAAAAAAAAAGCCCTTACAAGCTGAGTTCTTTGCATGCAGTCACTCACTCGGGGAACAGCAGAGGAAAGCAAACACAGTCCCCTCAAGAAGTGAAATGTAATTAGGTTTTCTCCCTTCTCTCCCTAATATTTGCAATTGTCTGTGTCAATGCCTTTGCTTTACTTTAGGGTGCGATTTTCTTCCTGGAACCGGGAGAATTTCGGCGACTGCACGGGGAGAGCTGAGAGCCTCCCCGAGCCGACCCTTCCCCAGCGGCTGCTCCGCGCATCTCCGCGCAACCCCCGCGCCGGCTCCGCGCGGAGCAGCCGCGGACAGCGGGGCTCTTTATTCCCTCCGGATGCGGGACGGTGGCACAAAGTTGCACGCGGCGATGTGGGGAGGGGGCAAGTGGAGGGCGAACTGTACAGAAATTTGCTCCGGGACGGGAGCGAGCAAAGAGGCACTTTGTTGTCTTTAGAACAAAGGGACAGGCAGGATGTCCCCAGCCCTCCCGTTCTGCGGGCTGCGGAGGCCGAAAAGCACCGGCGGGGGTGGGGGGACTGGAGGGGCAGCAGATGAGGCGGGAGGGGAGAAAAATAAATAAATAAATAAAATAAAGACACTGCTCTGTTCTCTTCGAAACCTCTTTGTAAGGGAAGTTAAGGGAATCCACATTATTTTAGTGGCATGACTGCACATTTACAGGACAGCATTACAGATCTTCCCAACTAAAATACCAGTTAGGTCATATCCTTTCTCTAAAGAAACTGAAAAGTCCTTTGACAGATTTCCTTCTTCTTTTTTTTTTTTTTCCTCCTCCTTCCCCTCCTTCCTTCCCCCTCTTCCCTCCCCTTCCCCTGCGCGGCGAGAGCCAGCGACAAAACTCCCGTGCAAAGCGCAGCCACCACCGCAAATAGCCAGTGCGCTGCCCCGGCCGCCTTCTCGGACTGGAAAGTTGCGGCAGACTCCGGTGCTCTGCTACGGCGGAGAGGAGGCTCAGGACTTACAAACGCAGCCAGGGGCACGGGCTGAACGTTTTGTACCGTTCTTCCTGCGCAGACCCGAAGGCAGCATCTTTGTTTTGTTTTGCTTTTTCCCTCCTGCTACTGCTCCTTTCTCCTTGCAACTGGGCGCCTAAGTGCTAGGAGCTGCTGCAGCCCGCGCTGCGCTGCAAACGCTGATACGAAAAGACAGAAGGCATCGAGGCGGCCCCGGCTGCTGGCTCGTCCTTGGCTTTGTCGCTGCGTACTGCACAAGCCCGAGGAGCCGGGAGAAGGAAGCGGCCGAGGAGGAGGAGGCGGTGGAGGGGGGAGCGGAGGAAAGGAAGCGAGGAAGCGAAGCCAAAGTTTATTTGGAATAAGGGAGCGCAGCCAGTCCTCTCCCAGGCTGCGCGCTGGAGTGAGGTCTCCAGCCCCTGCGCCGGCGGAGGTGCCCGCAAGCCCGCGATGGCCGGAGAGCTCAGTATCGGAGCCGAGTTGCCCACTAGTCCCCTGGCCATGGAGTATGTCAACGACTTCGACCTGATGAAGTTCGACGTGAAGAAGGAGCCCCTGGGCAGGAATGACCGCTCCGGGAGGCACTGCACCCGCCTGCAGCCCGCCGGCTCCGTCTCCTCCACCCCCATCAGCACCCCCTGCAGCTCCGTGCCCTCCTCGCCCAGCTTCAGCCCCACTGAGCAGAAGACCCACTTGGAGGACCTGTACTGGATGGCCAATAGCTATCAGCAGATGAACCCCGAGGCGCTGAACCTCACCCCAGAAGATGCCGTTGAAGCTCTCATTGGGTCCCACCAGGTGTCCCAGCAGCTGCAAGGCTTTGAGAGCTTCCGGGCCCACCACCACCACCACCACCACCATCACCAACACCACCACCAGTATCCCGCAGTCACCCACGAAGACCTGGCCGGCAGCGGGCACCCTCATCACCACCACCACCATCACCACCAGGCCTCTCCCACTCCCTCCACCTCCTCCAGCTCCTCCCAGCAGCTCCAGAACTCACACCAGCAGCATCCCCCCTCCAGCAGTGTGGAGGACCGGTTCTCAGACGACCAGCTGGTCTCCATGTCCGTGAGGGAGCTCAACAGGCATCTCCGAGGCTTCACCAAAGACGAGGTGATCCGCCTCAAGCAGAAGAGGAGGACCTTGAAGAACAGGGGCTATGCCCAGTCCTGCAGGTATAAACGTGTCCAGCAGAAACACCACCTGGAGAATGAAAAGACCCAGCTAATTCAGCAGGTGGAACAGCTCAAGCAAGAAGTGACCCGGCTCGCCAGAGAGAGAGATGCCTACAAGCTCAAGTGTGAGAAACTTGCCAGCAATGGCTTCAGAGAGGCCGGCTCCACCAGTGACAACCCGTCTTCCCCCGAGTTCTTCATGTGAGTGCTTAACAAATATAATAAAAAAAGCAAAACAAACAAAAAAACCCGACCCCATCACCTTCCCCCTTCCCCTCCCCCCGCTCCCATCCTCCTCTGACATCTCCATCCATCTGTCTGCTTGACTAGCGAGAAAGAAGGAGAGAAAAAAAAATAGAGACTTGACTTTTGCAGCATCCAGTCTCCTAGATTAGCTGTGGGAAAAGTAAGATGGGGGTGGGGACGGGAGAGGTAACGTGCAACTTTTTTGACTTTCGTTTGTGCTTGAGAGAGAGGGACAGAGGCAGAGGCAAAGGAGAAAAGGACAAGCGAAGCGTTTTATAGATCGCTTGCTCCCTGAATGAGATGGACTTTAAGAGAATAATAATAAAAAAAGGACGATGAACAAGCCATCTATAACATACTGCCTGCTTGGAAAGAGAGGACATGACAGCAGCATCTCATGCACAATTTACCTGCTTGGAAAAAAAAAGAGAATAAATAAAAGGGACAATATATGCAAACTCTTCATATATTGCCTGCTTTGAGAAATAAGTTACAGGACTCAGATGGGACATTCAATCCAAGAAAGAAAAGAAAGGAAGAAAAAAAAAACTCATCAGTTTTATTGCCTGCTTGATTATATAGAAAAATACGAAAATCTGCATTAAAAATATTAATCCTGCATGCTGGACATGTATGGTAATAATTTCTATTTTGTACCATTTTCTTGTTTAACTTTAGCATGTTGATCATCGATCATAGCTTTCTGTTGTTTTGTTTCATCAATAAGAAAAGCATTACGAGTTATCAAAACTTTTTACTGCTTGTGCAGTTTTGTTCGTTGGTTTTGCTCTCTTATTTTCTTTTATGATTGTTAGCTTGTAAATATCTGCGACTTCAAACCGCACAGGAAAAGAAAAAAAAAAACAAAAAACAAAACATTTCAGCAGGCTGGTTATACGGTTTGTTTGGTATTAAAGAGACACTTAAACTTATGGGCATTTTGCATTCAGAAAAGAAAAAAAAAACTTTGTATATCTGGTGCACTTTTAAGATTTTTTTTTTTTTAGTTTTCATTTTGGTTTTTGTTTGTTGGGGCAGAAAAAAAAAAGCCTGGATGGCATTGACAAACCTAAACTTAACCGGGAAAGCGAGTTCGCATCGGTCACTAGAGCCTCCTCCGCGCTTTAAAGTGGCAGTGAAGCTCCATCTCCTCCAGGACAATTCTCAGCCTGTAGTGTTTAGACTTGGCCTTAGAGTCTCCCTTCTGATTGTACACTCAGAAAGCGAGGCATGGGCGATATATTGGTTCCTTTTAAGAAATACCAGCTGCCCTTTGATTTTTTTTTCCAGTAAAATTAAGAAAAAAAAAGTGAAAGAAAGACTTGTTAGAAGTCGAGCTGAAGTCACAGTAAATGATTCGTGTCACCACCTAAGTTAGGTTTATCAATGATAGCAGTGGGTACGTGAGCTGGAAAAGCATATAAAGTGAAACTTTTTTTTTTTTAAGAAGTCATACTGCAACTTTTAAGTGTATTCTTTTGCAATGATTTGTAATCTGCTTCTCTGCTTCCCTATGCAGTGAGTGAAAGTTTTAGCCAAAATTTATTTGCAGTTGTATATTAGTAGTAGTTTGGAGTCTTATGGGTGTTTTTATTACTTTTTTTTTTCCTCCTGCAGGTCAGTAAAAGGATTATTTTACGTTGCACTGACAAAAATACCAAAATGAAAACTTATTTTTAGTTTCCTTTTTAGGATAGCTGGCACTGCTGGCCGGATGCATTTTAAGTTTGTATTAGTTTATAAATTAACAGTAATAACGAGATTGTAATGAACAGCATGGTGCTTGCAGTTTTAAATATTGTGGATATTAGTCATGCATCAGAAAACGATCTTTGGTTTTTACTGATTCAACTGTGTTGAAATCAAAACATTGCAGCAGCGGAAAAAATGTTTTTATTTCATGTAAAGTTCTGAAGGGATCAATTTCAAATCCTGCTTATGATATGAAAAAAAATATTAAAAAACCTGGTCTATTGTAGTTTTATTCAGACTGGTTTCTGTTTTTGGTTATTAAAATTGTTTCCTATTTTGCTTATTAAAATCATTGAAATGGCATTTCTTGGCGGGATCTCCTTCTCTAATAACGCCTCGCGCCCAGAAACTCGGGCATCTGAGCCCTCCTGCACGCGCTGTCCAGCGCCAGCGGCCGCCGAGCGGCTCCGCGGGCCCCGCTCCGCCGCTGCCCGCGCCGGGCTGCGCTCCCGCGGGCACGGGAGAAACGCTGAGGGCAGTCAGGATTTTTAAATCATTATTCATGTACTAAAAAAAAAAAAAAGGTAAAAGATTTGGGCAAGTCTTTCCCCTGGCTCCTTTGGCCGTGCACTTTCTTCCTCTCCCTCTGTACAGTTCATTTATTCTGGCCTTCTTATTTATTTATTTATTAAGCATGAGCCAACGGAAGAAGTTTTGGAGACTTTTTAGCTGCGTGTGCAGGAGCGGACTGAGCTCGTGTATTTGGCATCTCTTTCCCCCAGGGCTCCCCCCCGCCGTAAGGCACTGCCACTCCGCATTAACCGCTTTATCTGAGCGCAGAAAACCGCTCAGCTCCCTAATCTGCAGCCAAGGGAGGTTAGAAATGGCCCCTGCTCCTCGGCCCGGTGCGGGCAGGGGGTGCAGAGCTCGGCCACACTGCTGCTCTCCGAGTGTGACTAGGTTGGACTTCAAACTCGTCTAAAAAACAAAATCCGATGCACCGCACAACCGAAATAATAACCTCTCTCTGCCCTCTTCTTCCCGACAGCGGCTAACTGCCTTTGCAGGGACGACATAGGCACAGTTGGAGGATGAACTGGTTCAGAGCAGAGTGTGGGGGAAAAAAAAAGAAAAAGAAAATAAAAAGAAAAGCAAATACAGTAACTCAGAAACAAAATCTGCTTTTAAAACCCAGCTGCATCCCTGCGTTGTCAGAGACAGCTAGGCCGGCGGCTGCAACGGGAGAGCAGAGCAGGGGCCGCAGGCGGGTCCCAGTCCCCCTGGGACAGGGGTCGGAGAGCAACCTCGTACCCTACGGCCCCTCCTGCCCCACGAAGGGGGACAGGAGTCGGTAGGGGAAGAGGGTGAGAGCGCCTGGTTGTCTCTCTATGGCCTCCCCCCTTCCCAGTAGATGCTAGGGCTGCAGAAAGCCTGAGAGGAATATTGTTTGTGGGAACTGCCACCGCATATTAATGTCCCTGCATGCATGCATTGAATAAATCACTAGGGCTAATTGAACGACAACAACAACAACAACAACAAAAAATAGCAAAACAGGCCTTAGAAAAGCCCTCCGGATTCCCACCGCAGAACTGTGTCAGCGGCGGGGCAGACTCTCCGTGCACGGAGTGCCGTTGAGACAGCCCGGGTGTTTGCAGCGCGGTGCCGTTTTGGAGATTTGATTTACCTGATTACAGTATAAATAATAATAATAATAATTTAAAAAAGAGCAATCCGCCACCACCACAAGCAGCTTGAGCATCTGGGACTCCGACCCGCAAGTGCTCAGAGGGCTCCGCCAAGCTGCAAAACTGAGCGCTGGGGGCGGGGGAAAGGGGGGCAGGAGCGGAGCCTCGGCGGGGGGAAACGCCAGACCGGGGCGAGCCAAGACCCCGGCGCTTGTGCTCCCCCCCGGCCGGCCCGCGCGG